CCTGCACAGGTGGATTCGAGGAGCGCCGTGGCCGCGGTTTCGAGCGGGGCGGGTTCCGGGGCCGTGGCGAGCGCGGGGGGTTCCGGGGCGGCCGCGGCGCCGAGCGGGGCGGCTTCGGGCCCGGCAAGATGGAGAGCAGGTGAGTTTGGGGGGAAAAACGGGGAATTGGGGAAAATCCCAAAAAATATAACGGGGATTTTGGGGGGAAATGGGAAATTGGGAAAATCCCCAAAAAAATATAACGGGGATTTTGGAGGGAAATTGGGAAAATCAAAAAAAATATAACGGGGATTTTGGGGGGAAAACGGGGATTTGGGAAAATCCTGGGAAAAAAACGGGGATTTGGGGGGAAAAACGGGGAATTGGGGAAATCCCCAAAAAATATAACGGGGATTTTGGGGGGAAATGGGAAATTGGGAAAATCAAAAAAAAAATAACGGGGATTTTGGGGGAAAACACGGAATTCGGGAAAATCCCAAAAAATATAACGGGGATTTTGGGGGAAAAACGGGGAATTGGGGAAATCCCCAAAAAATATAACGGGGATTTTGGGGGGAAATGGGAAATTGGGAAAATCAAAAAAAAAATAACGGGGATTTTGGGGGAAAACACGGAATTCGGGAAAATCCCAAAAAATATAACGGGGATTTTGGGGGGAAAACGGGGATTTGGGAAAATCCTGGGAAAAAAACGGGGATTTTGGGGGGGAAAACGGGGAATTGGGAAAATCCCGGGAAAAAAACGGGGATTTTGGGGGGAAAAAGGGGGAATCTGGGAAAATCCTCCAAAAAATGGGGATTTTGGTGAAAAAACGGGGATTTTGGGGAGGAAATTGAGGGGTTCTGGGGGAAAAAATGGGATTTTTGGGGTGAAAATCCTGAGATTTGGGGGGGGAAAAATGGGAATTTGGGAAAATTCCCGGGAAAAAACTGGGGATTTTTGGGGGAAAAATGGGAAATTGGGAAAATGCAAAAAAAACGGGGGATTTTGGGGGGAAAATGGGGATTTTGGGGGGGAAATCCTGGGATTTTGGGGTAAAAAATGGGAATTTGGGGGGAAAACAGAGATTTTGGGGTAAAAAATGGGGATTTGTGTGAAAATCCTGGGATTTTGGGGTAAAAAAATGGAGATTTTGGGGTAAAAAATGGGGATTTTGGGGTAAAAAATGGGAATTTTGGGGTAAAAAATGGGAATTTTGGGGGTAAAAATCTGAAATTCGGGGTAGGAAATTGGGAACTGGGGGGAAAAGTTTTGCTTTGGGGTAAAAATCCCGGGATTTGGGGGTTGTTGTGGGCGAGGGGATTTCGTTAATTTGGGGCGGGAGCTCGTTAATCGCGGCGTTAATTACCGCCCCTCCCCCGTTCCAGGGGCGACCACCGGCAGGACCGACGCGAGCGGCCATATTGAGCCCCTA